GAATGTCAGCAATCCTTCGGAGACAACGATGATCGAACACAGAGAGTCGTCTAACGTCCTCAACTCGGAGAGGCCAGGTTTCACAAGCATAGAGCAAAACTGCTCTCACCGACGCGTTGTAGATCCGACCTTTTACGGCCAGACTAACATCACGAAGGCGGCATAGATGGCCCAGATTGGCATAAGCCGCTCTGGCTTTCACTATACGTGCATTGATCTCATCACTCACACCCCCACCAGCACTTATGCAGCTACCCAGATACACGAACTTCTCGACTACTTCTATCTGCTCACCATCCAGAGTGAGTACAGGATTGGAATCCTGCCAGTCTTGTAGAAGTACTTTGCACTTCGAAGGTGCAAAGCACATACCATACCTACGGACATTGATTGCCAACTGATTAAGTGCGGATTGCATGCCTTGGGCATTATCGCACAGTAAGACAATACCATCCGCATACTCAAGGTCGAGAAGTCTTTCTCCATGCAACAGATCCACACCACCATTACTTACATTCATCAGAGCTGTTTCCAGAATGTCATCGATGGCAAAGTTGAAGAGGAATGGTGAGATTGGGCAACCCTGTCTAACCCCACTGCTCGAATGGAACAATGGAGAAAGGTGGTTGTGTGCCCTCACTCTGCTTGAGGTGTTTGTATATAGGGCCTTTAGAATGTTAATAAACTTCTCAGGCACACCCTTCTTCAATAGACAATCCCAGAGAACAGTCCTATCCAACGAATCGAAGGCAGCCCTGATGTCAAGAAACACTACGATTGTTGGCCTGTGATAAGTATGGCGGTGTTCTAACATTTGGCGGAGGGTGAAGATATGATCAATACATCCTCGACCAGAACGAAAACCAACCTGATCCCCGCAAGTCAATCTTTCTCGGGTTTTGAACAACCTACGAAGAATGACGGAAGCCAATAGCTTGGACGCAATCGGAAGTAGACTTATCCCCCGATAGTTTTTACAGGAACGACGTGAACCCTTTTTAAAGATAGGGACAACTATCGACTCATTCCATGACGTTGGTACACTCTCTAGTTCCCAAACCTTTGTAAACAACGTCGTCAATTCCTTAGTCAAAAAGTCACCACCATCTTTAAAAAGAGCCGGAGGTAAGTCATCTGGGCCAGGTGATTTGTAACGCTTCAAGAGTTGGAGTTCCTTGGTGGATCAGACGTCACCGGCCATGGAGGGCAGGACAGTCTGACCGATGTTGCCGGAGCAGCAGGCCAGTTGAACTGCCCTTCGAAAAATTCTGCCCATCGTCCAAGACGTCGATGGATCTTAGTGATTGGCATCCCATCATCCTCGCAGATTGTTTCACTCACACCAGACTTCTTGCTGCTAGTGGCTCGGATGAGCTGGAAGAGCTTCCGGTAATTACCAGATGCAGCTGCTGCTTCCAGCTCATTAGCACGCTTCGACCACCAGGCTTCCCGGTCCTTACGCAAGCTTTGTCCAATTTCCTTACGTAAAATCCTTTGTTTATGGTCAAACTCACGGTCACCCGGAGTAGACCGACGGGCTTCAATGAGTTGTAAGGAACCAGAAGAAACCCAGTGCTTAAAAGCGGGACGTTTCGCAAACCCACAACTGACTGTTCCCGCCATTTTCATGGCGTCATGCAATTGCAACCAATGCTCATCTATACTTTTCGGTGGAGTGGTAGCTAGCCTAGAGGCTAGCTCGGTTCGATACTTATTTGCAACAGAAGTTGCAACCAGCTTGCTAACATCAATCCGTTGATGGCGTTCACTTCGTTGTCCACTGAAAAGTAAGGCAAGATTGGCGCAGACCAAGGCATGGTCAGAGTCCAGATAGGTACTCTAAAAGGAGCGGCAGTCTTTTACACAACCACGCCAGCGGTAGCTGATCGCGATGTGATCAATCTGAGTCCAGGCTTGGGATGCAGAGGGAGGACGCCAGGTGGCACATCGGCGATGACTGTGCCGAAAGTTAGTGCTAGCCAGAAACAGGTTGTGGTCTGTGCACAGTTGCAGTAGACGGTCCACGTTATCTGACCTGCGACCAACGAGTCCCTATCGGCCACCTAAACGACTCTCTTCTGTGCCTAGACGCCCGACCTGAGCATTCAAGTCTCCGGCTAGTACTACAATATCTGTCGAACGCACTTTCTGGAGAAGAACTGATAACTGGTGGTAAAACTCATCCTTGATTGCATCCGGGCTGCAATCTGTGGATAAAAGACTTCTTAGTTGGGCGTCAACAAAGAGTTCGGGTGAACTCAAAGTTATCTAGCTGGGGAACTGTGCTTAGTGGAGTGCCCCATGGTACAGTTTTGGGGCCAGTGCTATTCCCGTTGTATGTAAATAACCTTCCTCATCTTCTATCATCATCGGTCTTGATATATGTTGACAATGTCAAGATATGGAGAACGATACGATGTAAGGGTGATAGCTTAGAACTCCAAAATGACCTGAAGAAATAATCTGAATGGTCTCAAACCTGGCAGTTGCCGATAAATACTCCCAAGTGTGTTGTGATGCATATCGGTCATCAAGGTACAGATACATACACGATGAATAACACTGAGCTACCTGTCGTCCAGACACATAATGACTTAGGAGTTATCGTTAGCCAAGACTTAAAGACCACTGCACACTGCCGTGCAATAGCCGCCAAAGGCTTTAGAACCTTATGGTCAATACTTAGGGCTTTTAGTCATGTCGACGCTAAGACGTTTTTGACTTTGTATACAGTTTTCGTACGTCCTAAACTTAAGTACTGCATACAAGCGGCCAGCCTCTGCTTAAAAAAGACAGTGAGCTTCTGTAAAAGGTTCAGAGAACGGTAACTAAGCTGATTCCCGGAATAGCGAAGCTTCTGTATGAAGCTCGACTGGCCAAGCTGAACCTTTTCCCTTTGTCATATCGCAGAACTAGAGGCGACTTGGTTACAGTTTTCAAATTGCTCAGTGCCAAATTTGCACCTGATATGCATTTATTTCTCTTGTCTTCCAAAACAGAGAATTTATGAGGCCACTCCAAAAAAGTTCACAAGCCAAGAACAAATTACTTGTCAGCTGACTATCGACTTTCCCATCGAATCATCAACGAGTGGAATTCATTATCTCAGCACATGGTTGAGGCTCCATCCGTCGATCCTTTCAAAAGAAAGTTGGATCAAATGAGGGACCACCATCGCCAGGACTAACACAGGCCATCTGTCCTTCCCTAACTGAAACTGAAAATTGTCCCAACTTGTAAATCTTCGAGATAACATAATATCATTGAAGATTCGTCCTATATCATGCATCATCACGATGGCATCGTCTTCGTTACTTGAAGAATGAACGTTATCAGACATGGTGTAGCTGAACTCAATTCAAATCTAAAAATGTCTTGATTTTACCGCTTCTGAAAATTTTCATGAATTGTCGATGTGATGCACCAATCGTCTTGAGACAGTTTGACCTTCAAGTGCTCGCAACCTACATCAGTGAACGATACCATTGAGGCGTTGCCGGTACTGCGTCGTCAATCTTTGGTCCCAATTGGAATATTCCCTTAATCTCTCGCTTGTTTTACTTCAGATTGTTGTCGATTTCTCTCCTTATAAAGTGTGAGTGCATTCTAAGAGTTCGAGAAAAGTGCGTCTAAGCTGAACTGAGTTACTATTAACATTAGTTATAAGGCCACCCTATCAGTGTGTGCTTATAAGGACTGATGGCAATATTTCCAAGTTCTGACACATCTCATGAGCTAAGTACTCGATCATCTTAATCTTCTTTCTACTTATTACCAGCTTGTTTCTCCGGACTCCTTGATCATATGTTTCGGAAAACCATCCAAGGATTTTAGTAGCTTAGACTTTAATCACCATTGATTGAAATAATTCCTTTCTGATCATCACAATTGAACTGCTATCTATTTTTAAACGGATGAGATTTGTATTTTGAGGAAAGAGGGCTGGAGGTCTATGTTAGTCTTTTTGCAGTAGGCCTTTGTATTTTTGTAGTTTTCTCTTGAACGAGTCTATTAAGTGCTTGCATCATTGATACGCTCTGTCAGTCAGACTCGGACGACCGTAACACGTCAACCATTTCTGTCAGTAGGTTCCAAACGTTGACTACTCAGTGTGAAAACATCGATACTACTTGGTCGTCAGTGACTGCGATCAGTTAGATGAAATGCCACCAAACTCCGAGACTAACTACCCAGTCAATTAAACCAAAATTAATCCTCCAAAATTGAAATCTACCGAGGATAATCCATCTGGATATTAGTATCTGCTCTTTTTCGTCTTTGACTCATCATACTTCACGTATTTTCACATGTTTTAAGCTTGGAATTGTCTGTCAGTCAGTAACAACGTAGAACTTCGTACGTACATCAGTTCAAGTTGCCATACCATATTAGCACAGTGGTGCAGTTGTCGATTCAATCGCTCCCTTACTGTGTTAGTTGCTAGATAGTAGGCAGCTATACTGCTGACTCCCAACGTTTCCTCAAATTGTATCATCATCATTTGGTCGGTTCAAGTAGAATCATCTTCCAATATTTTTACGGCAGTTGCTGACTAATAGTTTTCAACTCCAACTATCTGAGTTCCTGTCCTCTTTGGAAAGGTCTCATAGCTAACGAGTTGTGTAAGTATCAGTTACAGGAGTGTTTATTACTGCTGAAATCTATTCAATGATTTCGGACCGAAAAACTTGCTGGTTACAACTACATATACACAAAATAAATTGGAGATGAGTTTTCTAGCCTTAGTGTTCTGGTTTTATGTAAAAATTCTTACAATATTTATTTGCTATATCCACTCATTTAATAGCAATACTGAAGTGTTCGTTTCATTATGATATGATTGTTGCCCATATTTTAGTTTCATTTATCCTACTAAAGAGACTAATAGTGAGTTTTCGTTCTGTCAACAGATTCCAGTTTACTATAGTGCTAATTTAATACCAGATTACTGGGATTGTTGCCCCAAAACTTAAAGCATACTTTTAATTATACCCGTTTCAGAGAAGCCATCAATAATGGGGAAGTCTTCACGCGATAAACGTGATATTTACTATAGATTAGCTAAAGAAGAGGGTTGGAGAGCACGTAGTGCCTATAAGCTGCTACAAATTGATGATGAGTATGGAATCTTTTCTCCTGGTAAGTGTATGGTGGTTTAGATTTATGGGCAAAATGAAATATACCACTCGAGTTATACTAAATTTTTTTTATAGAAGTCCACTGATTGATAGACAAACTGATTGAAGTCATAGAAGAATCCGTTATGATTATTCTTATGAAGAGATAGTGTGAATGCTGGCATTATTCACATGTGAACCTCATTAAACAACCTAAGGGATAACTTTTAAGTGGCTCTAACACGACTGTTTTGTGAATAGCTGTTCCGACTTTCTTAAGGTTAGTCCACGTGTTTCAAACTACACTATAAGAAAGGAGAATTATTGGAGCTAAGATTATGTGCTTATTTTACTCGTAACCTATTTCAACTCTGCTGTTGTCTGGGAAAGGCTGTTCCCACCACACTTTGAATAGGGCCAGTAATCAGGATTTTCTTCTTGGACCTGAAATTCACTCCTTTCCTTTAGCCCACTTTCCGGCGGATTTGTCTATTAGCAAAATGAAAAGAAACAAGTGATGTAGGGAATATAACTCAATTGTTTCGTTATAGTAAACAAACTTAACCACTGCGACAAAGTAGATGCAACGATGTCCAATCATTAATGGCAATGTAAACTAGTAAGTTGAATAAAGAAGCGTTTAAATTGGTTTACACATAAGTTTGAGACTTGTCATAGATTTTTCTGTACTATTCCAACGGTTCGTCAGCTACATATAAGTTTTCCTTGGCTAGTGAGTAGTGAAATCTACCATTAGTTTAAGGTTTTCGTTGAAAAATTCACTTTGACCCTCATATCATCATAGCATTCGACTGACTAAAACATAGCTAAATTTAATACAGTATTCTACTAGTGCAATCTCAGAGCTTGCAAAGTTATAGATGGAAAGCGGTCGTACCAATAAATTACTAAATGTCAAGTCGATTGAAATAATCAATTGCTTTTAATGAATTTTGCACATCGTGGTGGCTTCAGATAGTCTTAGCAGCTACAACTCAAGAATATGGTGTATTTACATGAGATTTTGTCAACTAATAATAACAGTTTTTTTTACAGATTGGTTTGTAAATCGGGAACTTTTTCGAATTAAAGATCAGAGCTCCTATTGCCATTTATTTTGCTTCCTCACTCTTACAGAAAATGCTCCTTTAGAACGAGTGGTTGATTTGTGTGCTGCACCTGGTAGCTGGTCACAAGTATTATCAAAACGTTTATGGGAATCGAAATCCCCAAAGGATCAAAAATCTGTACTGCATACATTTTGAGATTTCATTATTGATATTTCTTAATGAAGGTGAAAATCGTTGCCGTGGATCTACAGGCTATGGCCCCAATACCAGGAGTTATTCAAATTCAAGGCGATATTACTAGTCAGGATACGGCTCAACAGATTATAAAATATTTTGACGGCAAGTTGGCTCAACTTGTTGTTTGTGATGGTGCTCCAGATGGTAAGTGAGTTTGAGCTTTTCAAGTTAATAATTTTCTATTTGTAAATTGATTATGTGTAAGTTTTGACTTCTGTCCGTTTAAACTTTTGGTATAAATATATGCCACTTTGTATTAGGTTTATTTTTTTTGACTCTTTGTGTTCTACTGCCAATTTTTATTGAGTAGTGTACTTTTATCTTAAAATCCTTACTCCACGTATTAATGATCTTGCTAACATTTTTCTTATTATTTTTGTAGTGACAGGTCTACATGATTTGGATGAATATGTTCAGTCGCATCTTATCTTAGCTGCTATAACTATCTGTTCAAGAGTTCTTGAGCTTGGTGGTACATTTGTTGCTAAGGTTTTTCGTGGACGAGATTCTGGTTTACTAGGTTCCCAACTCCGACTTTTGTTTTCGGGTGAAGTTAGTTTTGCAAAACCAAGAGCTAGTCGGAACTCTAGTTTAGAGTCCTTTGTTGTATGTCGTGGATTTATGGGTCCTCGTTTACGGACAGATTTGAAACCATCCACATCTTTTGAGAATCATTCAAGCAACGATAATTTGCTATTATTATGGTACGACAAGGATAACTTTGAAGACGTATGTTAATATGTTATGCCTTCAATACTCAGTTTGTTATGCAAAATGCCAAGAGAATATTCCGTTCTCATGTTCTGTTTATAGCTATGTGTATTTCTTTACAATCATATTTTTGAAGTTGATGAGTGGTTGTGGTCAACCATTGGTCATTCCCGTTTTCAAGTATGAGATTTTGAGGACTGATGTATAGAAATGTATGAAAATACTTCGTTATCTATGACTGCTGTAAGAATGCTGAGCTCCAAATAATTCGTTACAAGTCAAATAGCAAAACATTATTTAAAAGTCATTCTTTCAGCCTGTAAATCTAAACGTTTATCTTTATGTTGCATTAATTTTCCTATTGAATGATTAAGTAAATAATTAGTCACAAGAATAAGATGACCTTATTATTTTGGTTGATACTCTCATTCACAAATCGAATATAGAGTTAAGCTATAGTGATTTTGGGACATTTTTGTTTGTTTATTTGTTAGGTTAATTCTTCTCAACAAGCTCTATTACCATTCATGGCGTGTGGAGATTTAAGAGGTTTTGACCCAGATGTCACTTATACTTTAGACCCTGATCATGTAGTCAAGCCACCAGTACAAGTTCCTGTAGATCCTGCTTATTCCGAAGTTTGCCGATTCAGTCGCTTAAATCAATCAAATACTTCAAAATTTCAATCTTTGGAAAAGAATAATGAAATTGATAATAATGATGATATTTCTAGATTTACAGAACTTATGGAAAAGTTGTCTTTCGATCCAAGAGAAGATCATTTATGATGTTTGATTTTTATGGACAAAACTATTTTATTCTATAAACAAATAAATATATTACATTTATCCTCTAATTTCTTTCCTCTATTAGTGTTATATGTTGTGATTGTTGTGTATTATTTCACCAAAAATTAACAAACCGTTAATCCAATTCGTTAACTAAACACTGATTTATCAAGCTTTGAACTACACGTTTTGTTTGGAGGTAGAAGAAAATACTTGACTTTCCAAACCTAGTTAAATAAAGATTTATTCCGATTTGTGGCTTAATGGTTGAAATTTGATTGACGAAATCATTCAACCACATCTCTATGAATGTATCTATTCAACAAATGTATAGGATAGTTGTATAAGGGTATCACATTAGTGGATAGTTTCCCAACATTATTATTCACCAGGAACTGATTTCAGTTAAAGTACTATGAAAATCAGGAACCACATATAAACTCGTTTCTGGTTAATACTTCTGACCAGTCCTCAATACTTAATCACCTGGTATCTGTGCGAATACAATATTCAGTGGTCCAAATTTATTACTAAAGTCAATTCCGTGAGTAAGTGTTTCCCACCGGATTGGATCAATTTCACACATCATAGCACCTCTCTAGAATTTCACAGAATTCATATCGAAACTACTTATAAATGAATGACCAAATGACTGTTTGTCATTACTTAATGTTTGTGGAAACGAGCAGATTTCCATCATGGTTTTGATTAATTTTCTGTAGCTGACATTGATTCCCGATAAAACCTTATTTTGATTCTTACCGTGAGAAAAGGTTTTCATCTTAATCTGATTTTAGGAATTTGAATACTCACGATTGTTTTGTCTTCATTAGTTTCTATGTTATGAGATCTAGTGAGATTTCGCACAATAGATGAGCTGTGACCAACAAGAGGATACGACAGACTTTCTTCCCGTTTCAGACTCATCGGTTGAATGTGTCTGCGTCTTAGTGTTGATATTCACATTAAGACTCAATCTCCTGTACCTTTTCACTTCAAACATGAGAGCGTTATTCACTGAGCTACTGAATCCGGGTAGACATTGATTTGTTTGATGGATATGGTGTTTACAACGTTATTAATAAAGGTTCTGGTTATTTCGTTGTTGGCTATTTAGAATCGTTCAAACATCAGTTTATTCCTTAAACTGTGCTTCAATTCGATCTTATTTACATTCAAAGAAGGACTATAGATGAAAACAAAGTGGACGTGAGTCCCGCCTATGTTCCTGATTGTTGCTTACTTATTCATGTTCCATATAGATTCACATTTTTATCCACTTTCGGAAATGAAAACGAACTCACTGAGGTGTCATTGTTAGACTGCTTACTCAAAGGAAGTTTAAATGGAATTCTGGATGTAGTCATTTGCCGTAAACCGACATGTTCTAATCAGTATGTCGAGTTCGGTAGCACATATTATTTAGTGGAGGAATTTTCAGCGCTTTAAATTCATTCAGAAGAATTACCAAAACTTTTAAATCAGAAGGCGAATACAATGACGATCTTGGCGCTCAGTAACTTTCTTATGAATACTTTTTAAAACGGGGTGATTTGTTTAAAAAGGAGTAATGAAATATCATAGGCTGTTACAATAGTTTTACCTTACTCTGCAGTAGGATATAATTGCAACCATGTAAGATATAGTTGTGTGTATATTCTCTGTGGGTAGCAACTCGGGATTTTCGATTTTCTACTGATTGAGACTTTACAAATATGTGACTTTCTAAATTATGAGTGGATCAAAGTTCAAAATTCTGATCTACTTATCGGGAAGGTGAATGCTTAACTAATAATCTATGTAAACGCACGAACACTATTAGTGGGAGTAGTGCAATTAACTTTCATACCTAATGGGGAATTTGTAAATCTAGTCTAGTGCACACAAGCCTATATCTAGCTGTGTTCATCACACTTTTCTTCATCTCAATATTCTGTGTGCTTCATATTTTACAGGATTGTTAATGACAACGATGATGCATAATTCATACAAGTCATCATCTCAGTTCAAAACATCTCTTGACAACTATCCAGAATTACAAACATATCAAGCAACGCCTGAAGAAAAATGCAAGACTATCGTCAACTCAATATTCTATTTGCTGATTACAATTCTGATTGGAGTACCTTTATGGTGGAAAACTACTACACCATATCACGCTTCATTGCCTTATAATGAGATTCAAATATTAAGCTCGCGTAAAATTGAGATAACTGTACCAGTAAGTATGTGTTGAGCGAAATTTCATTTGGTGAATTGAGTCCGATGCGTTTATAATGGTTTTTTGTAACTTGTTGATGTGTTTAAAATGGAATAACATTGTTTAGTGATTATTTATTTATTTAAGATAAATGGGACTCTGAAAAGTTTAATTTCCGTCCAATTTATTTACAAAGTATAGATGTGCGTACTTGACTTTGTGGTTGCAGTAGTTGTATGGAGGGCATGATATATATATATATATATATATATAATACCCGGTTGAAGAAACGGGGATGAGAATTGTAGCATACGACACGTTGGTTGAAAGACGAATACTCCAGGTGATGGACTACCTACTCCGCATTGGTAATTATATAAGAAGTGGTTGGAGGAGTTAATTTTTGACCATTAAAGCCCAGGTATTCAATACTCATTTCACTTCGATTTAGTTTCAAGATACCTCGGACAGTATTCCATAAACTCGGATCATGAGCACTGGTGGCACATATGGGAGAAGTCAAAGACAGATGACAGATGATGATGAGTCTCGGAATTATTTATTTATTTGGACACATGAATATTGGTACAAGAGAGCGCCAATATATATGCGCCACACAAAACAATGAAAATTCGAAGAGAAAAGAAAAAAGTTAAGGAGCGTAAAAAAAAGAGAACAATAATGAAGAGATTGGTGTAAGGTAATGTGCTAGTAATCAGGGAACGCAAAGGTACAATCGGAAGAAATCTTTCAGGTAAGGGAGACAGAACCACTTTTTATGAAGAAAGTAAAAGAAGGTTACAGCAGGATCGCCACTGGCTTCTATTCTGAGCCATATCTGATAACTTCTCTTGCCACTGTGTAGCACCATCTCTCAGACCCCAACCAGGGAGTCGTGAAGGACCAACACAAGCCAGTCCTTTGCAGCTTTCTTTCATACTACGACACCATGTCATACACTGACCACCTCTCCGCTTTTTCCAACCAGTCCCAGAGTCGGCAAATAATGTACGACGTACGATTCTCTGGGACGACATTCGGAGAACATGTCCAAGCCACCGAAGTCGGTGTTTCAAGATGGTGACACCAATTGAGTTATCATCTCTGTGCCCGAGCACACGATGCCGAACCTCTGTATTACTGACATGGTGTTGCCACTGAATGTCAGCAATCCTTCGGAGACAACGATGATCGAACACAGAGAGTCGTCTAACGTCCTCAAGTCGGAGAGGCCAGGTTTCACAAGCATAGAGCAAAACTGCTCTCACCGACGCGTTGTAGATCCGACCTTTTACGGCCAGACTAACATCACGAAGGCGGCATAGATGGCCCAGATTGGCATAAGCCGCTCTGGCTTTCACTATACGTGCATTGATCTCATCACTCACACCCCCACCAGCACTTATGCAGCTACCCAGATACACGAACTTCTCGACTACTTCTATCTGCTCACCATCCAGAGTGAGTACAGGATTGGAATCCTGCCAGTCTTGGAGGAGTACTTTGCAATTCGAAGGTGCAAAGCACATACCATACTTACGGACACTGATTGCCAACTGATTAAGTGCGGATTGCATGCCTTGGGCATTATTGCACAGTAAGACAATACCATCCGCATACTCAAGGTCGAGAAGTCTTTCTCCATGCAACAGATCCACACCACCATTACTTACATTCATCAGAGCTGTTTCCAGAATGTCATCGATGGCAAAGTTGAAGAGGAATGGTGAGATTGGGCAACCCTGCCTAACCCCACTGCTCGAATGGAACAATGGAGAAAGGTGGTTGTGTGCCCTCACTCTGCTTGAGGTGTTTGTATATAGGGCCTTTAGAATGTTAATAAACTTCTCAGGCACACCCTTCTTCAATAGACAATCCCAGAGAACAGTCCTATCCAACGAATCGAAGGCAGCCCTGATGTCAAGAAACACTACGATTGTTGGCCTGTGATAAGTATGGCGGTGTTCTAACATTTGGCGGAGGGTGAAGATATGATCAATACATCCTCGACCAGAACGAAAACCAACCTGATCCCCGCAAGTCAATCTTTCTCGGGTTTTGAACAACCTACGAAGAATGACGGAAGCCAATAGCTTGGACGCAATCGGAAGTAGACTTATCCCCCGATAGTTTTTACAGGAACGACGTGAACCCTTTTTAAAGATAGGGACAACTATCGACTCATTCCATGACGTTGGTACACTCTCTAGTTCCCAAACCTTTGTAAACAACGTCGTCAATTCCTTAGTCAAAAAGTCACCACCATCTTTAAAAAGAGCCGGAGGTAAGTCATCTGGGCCAGGTGATTTGTAACGCTTCAAGAGTTGGAGTTCCTTGGTGGATCAGACGTCACCGGCCATGGAGGGCAGGACAGTCTGACCGATGTTGCCGGAGCAGCAGGCCAGTTGAACTGCCCTTCGAAAAATTCTGCCCATCGTCCAAGACGTCGATGGATCTTAGTGATTGGCATCCCATCATCCTCGCAGATTGTTTCACTCACACCAGACTTCTTGCTGCTAGTGGCTCGGATGAGCTGGAAGAGCTTCCGGTAATTACCAGATGCAGCTGCTGCTTCCAGCTCATTAGCACGCTTCGACCACCAGGCTTCCCGGTCCTTACGCAAGCTTTGTCCAATTTCCTTACGTAAAATCCTTTGTTTATGGTCAAACTCACGGTCACCCGGAGTAGACCGACGGGCTTCAATGAGTTGTAAGGAACCAGAAGAAACCCAGTGCTTAAAAGCGGGACGTTTCGCAAACCCACAACTGACTGTTCCCGCCATTTTCATGGCGTCATGCAATTGCAACCAATGCTCATCTATACTTTTCGGTGGAGTGGTAGCTAGCCTAGAGGCTAGCTCGGTTCGATACTTATTTGCAACAGAAGTTGCAACCAGCTTGCTAACATCAATCCGTTGATGGCGTTCACTTCGTTGTCCACTGAAAAGTAAGGCAAGATTGGCGCAGACCAAGGCATGGTCAGAGTCCAGATAGGTACTCTAAAAGGAGCGGCAGTCTTTTACACAACCACGCCAGCGGTAGCTGATCGCGATGTGATCAATCTGAGTCCAGGCTTGGGATGCAGAGGGAGGACGCCAGGTGGCACATCGGCGATGACTGTGCCGAAAGTTAGTGCTAGCCAGAAACAGGTTGTGGTCTGTGCACAGTTGCAGTAGACGGTCCACGTTATCTGACCTGCGACCAACGAGTCCCTATCGGCCACCTAAACGACTCTCTTCTGTGCCTAGACGCCCGACCTGAGCATTCAAGTCTCCGGCTAGTACTACAATATCTGTCGAACGCACTTTCTGGAGAAGAACTGATAACTGGTGGTAAAACTCATCCTTGATTGCATCCGGGTTGCAATCTGTCGGGGCATAGGCGGAGATGACGAAAAGACATCGTTTCTCACGCCGATTTCTTCACACTTTGATGGAACTTTCTAATCTAACAGCACATAACCGACTGTTAATGGGGATCCAATCGACTAGTGCTGCCTCAGCTCTAGCGCTTAGTGCGACACCAACGCCTGCAAGACCAGACGAAGATGCCACAGGGTCCCCGGATAAGCGCACGTAAAACAAGCTTTTTGAAGTGACAGATGTAGAGCGAATTTATAGTACTTCGCTAGAGTCTTGAATACGGATCTCGGATAGACAACAAACATCAATATTAAAACTTTCCAAAGACATAGCCACCCCTATCTGTTGACCAACCTGCATAAGTTTGCGAACGTTGAAGGAAGCCAGTTTGAATGGCGCACGTGGTTTCAGAAAAACTGCTTCAGTACTCATATTCGATGATAACATACAACTTTCAACCGGACAGTGACTCGAGAACGTTTAGATACAGTCGATTTTCCACCAAAGACGAGCCGCAGTATAAGTATAAAAGAGGGTGAATAATGTGGGAAATAATAATAATATTAATAATAATAATAACGACAATAATAGTAATAATAATAGTATTAATAATGACAATAATAGTAATGATAATTATTTGAATCGACTGATTGTTTTTCGGAGCGATAAAAGTAGTTGCCAAAGACATAGAGTTCATCGTTTGTGTGTGGGCTGTGATACTGCCCGGGTGCCCAAACCGAAGCAGAGGGTTTTCTTAGGGGGCCACTCCCCGAGCCTTTGACCTAAAGGTCTAACCCACAAGGCAGTGGAGCATCGTAAGGAGATGCAGTCCCATGGAAGCCGGTGACCAAAGATTGGTTCATACGCCATTTGTTCCCGCAGGATACTGGAGCCCATGTGCAACATTGATTTGGTTTGGGGTCCGGTTAAAGCGCCGGACATTCGCTTTTCGTCCTCTCATTTTTGTAAACAACACCCCCGCCACGAGAAGGCAATGAGTAGGACTTCCCTGGCAGAGGCTGTATACGCGCGGCCGTGTGAGAGTATTTCGAGAGGGAGAGCGGACTCACCCCACTCTCGGCCGTACCAGGGCATTCGGGGGCGGGTCTCGGAAATAGATAGGTGGGATTTGGTCGTGATTAAAATGGTGTTATTATGTTTAAATAGAGATATAAGTGATCTTGACTTCGAAGTTACCCACGCTAAAATGGATACGTCTGGAGTTATGTGAAAAATAAACTGGATTAGGAGGGTGGTGTTGGTAACACTGGATAATGTTTAATTATGGTCAGTCGCACACGCCTCTTGCTAGTAGGTCTTTATTTGTTAACTCCGTAATTTTCAAAACTTGTCGCTGACGACGGAAATCGGTGTAGCACGGTATGTTGTGTTATTTGTAGAGGGGATTTTTTCTAACACACTCCTTCCGTTATGAGGAGATATCATCGCTGCAGGTGCTGGTTTTATCTGGAAAACACCACACTGTAGTTACAGATCTATGCACACGGGAGTACAACTTCACTTCTAGACCTTAAGTTTACTGCTTTCAGTTTTCAAACTCCAATCAACCTATCTGGTATGGTTTCAGCTAGTTTAGTTTTATTGAGTTATTTAATTATCAAATCCCAAACACCACGTCAAGGTAGTAGTAACAGTTTTGTCTATTTGACAATTTACCTAGTATCGTGAACTCTCGCTTGTACAGGTAAGCGCAGAACCCATTAGTTTACATCGATTAATTCGTGATTGTGTTGTAATTACTCACTGATAGTTGTTTCAGATAAGGTTTTCTATTTGATGCACTAAAATGTTGACCCAAGGCTAAATTTTATTATTTAAGATATCCCAATGAAAGCAGCCAGTTGTAATCAATCTACATGAACAAACTGTATGTGTTAATTGTGCAGCTAGATGAATAAGAAGTAGTTACCAGTTGGTGGAAACAAACTGAAGGAATGTAAAAATTAACGATAATAAAACTCCTACCATTGATGTGGTTGCACTTAAACATGGTTTACCGAGGAAAAGACAATTTCACAAGTTATGTTAGTTCGACGGACGGATGAGGTGGAGGGTGAGATTGATAATTATATTAACAACTGTTCTTTAAACAAAAACTGAATACATGCGGCGTTTGTACTTCAACACCTATTCATCGTATCGATAAAGCAAAAACATAAGGATCGTTATTGAAACTTTTGTTTTTATGGTTAACTGATTATTCCTTGAAAGTATCATTACTATGTAGTTAGGTCATTTACCATATGGTGCTTTTGCTCATTTGCTTGGTCCCAATCAAGGTTTTACATATGTGTATATTAGCATTAAGAATAATAATAATATGTTGTCGCCACATGGAATATGCCAAATGATTCATTGTTACAAGCTGTTTTAAATAGGTTATTGTTTGTTTACTTCTATTTTCTTACCTCTCATCAGATCAATGTGCTCAATTTTCATGCTGAACTTGATGATCGAAGTCTACACCAAATCAGTGAAATATTTACCCGTTTTAATTTGGAGCAGCAAGCATTTACGATGACAGATGGCTCTGATGAAATTTTAATGAATTATCATGTAAATACCAGACAAATGATGAATCATTTAGAAATCCGAACATATACAAAGTCGCTTTCAAATGATATTCTTAGCTTTTGGTTAACATTTGAAAAAAAATTAAGCTTATTGAATGCTTTCGATATAAAAGATACTTCGAAGAGCTTTGAAAAGTAAAGTAATATTTGAATAGTTTGAAAATTTGTAGGTTGTATCCGTTGCTTAATGATTTCAGTTGACGTACCCTTGGAAACGGGAGCGCGGTGAACAGCCATTTCCTCGTAGTTTCTTCCTAGCTATTTCCTCTTCCTCCCATTCAGTTATCTTGTGCCTCCGAATTTTCAGTGGTACCTCAACTGAGATCAATCTCCAGAAAAGTCCTTCCATCGTTTTTGAAAATTAAATTAAGGAACTTAGTTGATAAAGCCTAAATAGAAAAACGGTTTCAGCATCCATCAATAAAAAAATTTAACAGAAAATCTGATATTATTCTTACGGACTGTCGTAGATTTACAGTCTGATAGATAGTATAGTGGGTAAATCTATTGACAAACATCATTCCGTTCTGATGGTGATGTACAATTAAATCAAAGCGATCTTAATGACGCCATTGAATTGTTATCGTTCTGGAAGTTAAATTGAAGTGATTTTACGGAGGTTAGCTTAATTTGTGGGTTATATTCGTCACAAATTGATTTCAGTATACTTTTGAAAACTAAAGATCAGTGGATGGGTGTCTAATCATTGTATGACGCCTTTCAGTATTGCGCACTCACAACTCTAACCATGATTGGACTCGGGAACTGCGGGTCTCGTGGCTAACTCCTAGTCATTAAACTGTTAGGTCAGCTTCCAATCATTTGATACCATTGGTGATAACTGTTCACTGCTGACATATCTGTAAGAAATACGGCCTACTACTAGTTAATATCAGTAGTAGCGTTTAAATTCATCATACTTTTCAGGACAAGATTGATATATTTATGTTTTGTTTTATTTAAAAGTTTGTAGTTTTTCGGATAAAAACGCTTAATGAATTAATTAACCTAGAAGCTATTAAATAATTTCTAAATATACAATTTTATATTGAATCGCTTATTCATAGTGGAATACTGTATACAATCCAAATATTGATTATAGAATTAGAACTCAAGAGTTATTGACATAAATAGGGTTTGTTGATTGATTCAACGAATAAACAAACATCATTTTTTAAGCAAGAGAATTAATGTTTTCTTGGTGTGGTTAAACATACCAGTTTAGATCACAATATTTTAATAAAGTGAACATTTTGCCATCATTTTAAAGGTAATAGTAATTGTTGAACCCCACTCCTGAATAAATTTTGTATCTCATTCCTGCTCCACATATATGCCGTACAATAACAAAACACTATGATAATATATCTGTGGCAGAACAGTATTAGCTTTATTTAATATAACTTTGTCAGTTTTTGTGAAATTTTTGCTGCATATATGTTACTTTGATTTTTTTTCTTAAAGAATCGTTTAATCTTGTCTATTAATAGTGAAATGGTGACTTAACGTATGACTTTTCAGTCTCACTTTTACCAGACATCAGTGTATATACCAGAAATTAACATTGAAATTTCATATAGTTTAACTAATATAAACCAGAGTTAGTAACAGTCTCGGCTCTGGATCTAATTACTACCAGTCATCACTGAAAATGAGGACATTGTAAGCTAACTATAAGTTATCATCCTATTTTGATTTCATAGCCCAGTGTTTCTTTGGTCACTTATATTATTGTTCCAGTTTTTGTCGTAAGCTTATTACATTCAATGGTTTAGCGTAACTTGTGAGGTTTGATCACTTTGTCCATTTTTATCCATGCATACTCAATGCTTTATTCCTTCAATTTCAGTAGAATTGTTTCCTTATCCACTCAACTTACTGTTACAATAGAGTGAGACCATTCATAATTTTGTAAACATGGTGAGCGACAATATCAACAATTTTAGGAAACATTACTCCACACTCCATAAGAGTTTTGTCTAACATAAAAATAGGTCTTGAAATATTTAATTAATTTGTCCATGGTCGTTATATTAATTCGTACCAGTAGCATGGATTGGTAGCTAATAACGCTTCGGTATTCGAACAAAATTTTCCTATAAAAGATATCTTCGCTAAAATACCTTTTATTTGGTATATCGCAGTTGGTGTTTTCCGCTTACCTATTTTATTCCCACCGACTTTGGATCGGCACTAACCTTTGAAGAGGTACAGACGAATAAATTAATATATTTGTAATATCCCAGTGAGTAGAAAAAATAAATTTTCTGGCGTTTGGTGACTTGGTGTGAGCCATTTCTTCAGAGAATAAATAACCAAATCAAAATTAATCCAAGTTTAAAGAGTATAAATCGAACAACAAGAATATTATGTGATCAATCAAACGACAGGGCTGAAGAAATCAATGTTATGTCGTTTCGGTCAATGTGATTCATAAGCGACATGTATGTAAATTTGTGTATGTGTATGTTTGCACTGTTAAGGATGAAAAATGTGTGACCTCTATGGTGAGAAAGGATAGAGTTTAATTTGTAAGATAATAGTGTAAATTGTGAATAATATTAGACTAGGTGGCTAGAATAGGTCGTCCAAGTATGACGTATAGTAAGGCATTCTTTTCTATTGAGAGCAGTAAGATTAAGTATTATATAGAAAGCTTCAGCTACTCTCCTTTCCTTGTAATTGAAAAAACCTTTTTGTGGTATTTTGATATTTTTGAAATCGATTTGGTGGTCGATGAAAATTGCGTGGACTGATTTTGCCAATATAATTTGGAGTTTATCCAGTTCTATGGGATTATCAGGTTTCTTTGTGTACCTAATATGTTCTTTGGCTCGAGTCAAGATTTCACGAGATATCTTCCCAATATAGAAGGTATCACAATCGACAAATCCAAATTTATATACACAGTTCTGTATTGACATGAAGGGGAATTTTTTCTTTTAAGCGAACTAAAGTATTTTGAAGTGTCTTCGTTGTTTTGTAATATACTTTAATTCTGTGTTGTTTTAAGATTGTTTGAAGTTCTTCTGTTGTGCCATGACAGTATAGTCAAACTGCAGTACCAATCCATGGTATTTCATTCGAATTACTATTATTACGCAATGAAACGTCTTGTTTTAATATACTTCTAATAATCTTCATAGAAAATTTATTAAATTGCAAGATGCTAATTACATTCTTTAGTTCCTTTTGTTCATCTTCTTCCGATGTGATAATCTTGTTAGCTCTTGTAAAAAGATTTAGGGCTAGCGAGATCTTTGCACTGAATGGGTGTGCTGAATTAAAATCAATATAACGATTAGTGTGTAGGTTTTCGGTAGATGGATAGATTTAAAATTCCATTTAGATTTCTTTTCACTAAGCAATCTAAAATGGTAGCTCACCATGTTCACTTTTATTCTCGTTAGTAAATTTGATATGCGATTAAAGTGTATTGATCTGTTTTGAAAAGGATCTTAGATGCTCAATTTATTCGAAATTATCAAGTCGAACCTCGGTAATGATACCTAACTACAGATGAAGCTACACGCATACTTACATTGATAAAAATGTTTTCATTTCTTTATAACATTTAAATATTTATTGAATTTGATAAATGGCATTTATGGCAATATGTTTTTTCTCCGCCTTCAATGCATAAGATGATTATGCGAATATTTTGGAATCTGAAACTTTTTTTTCCCTGGTGACAGTGTAACAATAACCGTATGGAATATTTCTGTTTATCATAAAAGTTCAGTATTTTATTCGATCAATAAAAATAGAATCGATTAGTTAGTTTTATCACGCTCTCAACTAATTAGATATTTGTTTAGTATAGGGATGGTTTTTCACATATTATGATTACTTTTACAATCGATTGATCTGAATTAATAGTTTTATTTATTTGATTATGGTACGTGTATCCACCATCTTGTAAACCGACTTCTCAGTGCATTGATGTTATGTATGTATATTTTAATCTTAATTTAATTATTACAATAGTTTACCATTTTGTCGTTGACAGCGATCATCTTATTGAACAAAGAAGAAACAGCAGTTCATCTGTTTATCATTTTCTATTATTACCAATGGTCAATATTGATAATTTATGGTTAGAGGGGATGAATTTTAACAAATCTACTACATCAATGAAACCATTTTCAATTATTAGAAATTTATTACATTTGAATTTAATCTACATTTTTATTCCACCGACAATTATGTCAAGTGAAAATAGTCAACTTCCAGAGGTATTAGCATTACATATAAAATATTTATTAGATAATGTTTTGATACAAACCAATCATCTTATGGTAAGTGAAATTACTCTCTCATACATTTGCAATAATAATTTTAGACTTAAATAATGTAAAAATTATGAAAATTTTTGAATTTTATGGTTTAAATTACAGACTGACCCCAGTACTAAATAATAATGGTATGTTCACTAGTGACCAGTTTTGTGCGGTAATCCCCTGTAGTTCTGTTGTGGTTGATTTCAACTATGTTGTGTATGCAGCAATTACCTACAAATGACATTGGAAGATAGTTGGGAAATACTACGAATTGATTAAATTTACACATATAAGTCGTTGGATGCTGGTTAGGTGGTTCAAAGGTTAAACAGTGGTCGCATTATTTATTTATTTATTTATTCGAACACATAAATATTGGTACAAGAGGGCACCAAATATATATGCACCACACAAAACAATGAAAATGGTAAGAGAAAAAAGACGGTAAGGAGCGTAAAAAAAGAACAATAACGATCAGATTGTTGTAAGGAAGTGTAATAATAGTAATGGGGGGAACGGAAAGGTACAATCAGAAAAAATCTTTCAGTTAAGGAAGATACAACCACTTTTTATAAAGAAAGTAAAAGAAGTTCACAGCAGGATCGCCAGTGGCTTCTATTCTGAGCCATATCTGATAACTTCTCTAGCCACTGTGTAGCACCATCTCTCAGACCCCAACCAGGGAGTCGTGAAGGACCAACACAAGCCAGTCCTTTGCAGCTTTCTTTCATGCCACGACACCATGTCATACACTGACCACCTCTCCGCTTTTTCCAACCAGTCCCAGAGTCGGCAAATAATGTACGACGTACGATTCTCTGGGACGACATTCGGAGAACATGTCCAAGCCACCGAAGTCGGTGTTTCAAGATGGTGACACCAATTGAGTTATCATCTCTGTGCCCGAGCACACGATGCCGAACCTCTGTATTACTGACATGGTGTTGCCACTGAATGTCAGCAATCCTTCGGAGACAACGATGATCAAATACAGAGAGTCGTCTAACGTCCTCAAGTCGGAGAGGCCAGGTTTCACAAGCATAGAGCAAAACTGCTCTCACCGACGCGTTGTAGATCCGACCTTTTACGGCCAGACTAACATCACGAAGGCGGCATAGATGGCCCAGATTGGCATAAGCCGCTCTGGCTTTCACTATACGTGCATTGATCTCATCACTCACACCCCCACCAGCACTTATGCAGCTACCCAGATACACGAACTTCTCGACTACTTCTATCTGCTCACCATCCAGAGTGAGTACAGGATTGGAATCCTGCCAGTCTTGTAGGAGTACTTTGCAATTCGAAGGTGCAAAGCACATACCATACCTACGGACACTGATTGCCAACTGATTAAGTGCGGATTGCATGCCTTGGGCATTATCGCACAGTAAGACAATATCATCCGCATACTCAAGGTCGAGAAGTCTTTCTCCATGCAACAGATCCACACCACCATTACTTACATTCATCAGAGCTGTTTCCAGAATGTCATCGATGGCAAAGTTGAAGAGGAATGGTGAGATTGGGCAACCCTGTCTAACCCCACTGCTCGAATGGAACAATGGAGAAAGGTGGTTGTATGCCCTCACTCTGCTTGAGGTGTTTGTATATAGGGCCTTTAGAATGTTAATAAACTTCTCAGGCACACCCTTCTTCAATAGACAATCCCAGAGAACAGTCCTATCCAACGAATAGAAGGCAGGCACAATGTAAGATGGTGGAGAAGATTTGTAGCTCAGGTGGATGATTTTGGTGTAGTTTTGTTTTCTGAGCTGGATGGTTTGGTCGTGGAGCTTTCATCTTTCTTCTGAACGAAATCATCAGCACAAAATTCAGATGTAATTTTGTTTCATAAGACTTAATAGTGGCTTATGAAATTAATTTAATTAATTAATTTAATCTCCCACCCGTTCATTTCCGTGTTTCCTATTGATATCGTCAATAAGAAATCGCGATTGAATACGTAACCCGGTCAGGTTATTTTTGTAGAATGTTTCGTATAAATTACAGATTTAGTTTTGTATTATTATATTCATTCGCATACGTAGAAGCCAAGTCTCTTACATTGTTTCGCCTCGTTATACATGAATTTGAAATTCTAATGAGTTTTCTTATGGTTTACTTATTTGTAAATATCATTTGAGAGATTGTTAGGTTTAATTAAATAGCCTATATATTTATGTGACAATCACCACTACTACTCAAATTTTCGTATCAAATTATATTATAATTTATTTCTAGCTTTTGGTCTTTTTAACTGAGGGGAATAAATGTTTCAGTATATATACTAATGTTATATCTGATTTTACTCACAAGTAGTTTGCATGATATACCTAGTTACTTTCAACCATATATAAGCTCATCTAACTTCCAGCCATGTATGACTATAAAAATTTGTTGACTGTTTGAAACATTTTTGGTTAAATGTATTCATCATTTTCACCTCTTATCATATTATACAAGCCAATATATAAACATATTTACCTGTACTTAAAGGCTATATATACTGTTATGGTGAGTTTTATTCACTTGTATGATTTACTCCTATAAGTCCCAAAAGATTCGTATTTTCTTTATATCATAAGATTTTATTAGAGTTATTTTAATTCTCCAGTTCGAAATTTATGTAAAAGGGAAACTGTAAATTTTAACGATTATTTACATCTTTCTTATGAATGTTTAAAGCAATAAGTGTTCGCTTTGACGCAGTTTTAATGTGTTTGACTTGAGATTATATCTGTTTAACTTTTTATAAGATATAGTATATTTTAAGCCAAATTCTTTTGTTTTCATTATGGGGGTTGTGGAGATTGTTAAGTTTTTGGTTGAGATCATGAATTAATTGATGTTAAACCACCGTTGGAAACCTGGAAGCACTGGACGGCCGTTTCGTCCTAGTATGGGACTCCTCAGCAGTGCGCATCCACGATCCCGCACCCCGCAGATTTCGAACCCAGGACCTACTGGCTTCCTGAAACAAATAGTTTATGTCATTTGCGAACGTTGTTATGTAGTCGCGGTTATGTGAAAGTTTTATTTAGTTGTTCCTGTACATTAAATTTAATAAACTACTTTCTCGTCTGCAAGTGGGCTGTTATTGAAATATCTGCTTTCGAAATCCCATTTAGAAACTTGTACGAAAATACGATAATCCTGCAAATTTGTCTTCTGGTCAGTACAATCAAATCTCGAAAATTATAGATAAACCATTGTCTGTATCTAGTATGTACGATGTAACTGTTACAGTGCTTACACTCGATGATTCTGTTTCACAATTAGTAGAAGAATCTAATGAAATATCGGTTTGGACTAATGAAATGTTGATAAATCCTATACCATGGTTAAAAGCACACGTAGGATCAGCTTTTAAAAATTGGTCGCCTTTTGTTCAAGTCGATTTCTATTCACAGAGACTTTATGGAGTTAGTGCTGAACTGTTGAAAAAAAGGTAAGTATCATTATATGTTGGACCACTTTATCAAAAATAGACTATCTACCAATGAAATCCCGTATAATAGATAATTTTTAGGTATCGTTACCAAGGTTTGACTTCAAATAAATTGAATGTTGGTTAGATTGTTGCTAATAAAAATGATGTATTTTTAACATCCCAATGACGTTTCATTAATTCATCGGAGAATAAATAAACAAATTAAACTAACCCAAGTTTAAATAGTACAAATAAATAAAACAGATATATAGTACGATCAGTCAAAAATAGGTTTAGCCAAGTCAATATCATGTCACTTTTTTCTTCATGAAAAAGACTCTCTTACATACTTTTACTAAACTGATCAATACACTCTCATCCCATAATTATTTTACTTGCAAGAATGAAAATAAACACAGTCAGCTCTCATTTTCACACTACTTAATTAAAAGGAAGTGAATTGAAGCTCTAAATCTAACCATCTACAGAAAACTAACACTGTCGGATCGTCATATTAACTTCAATTCGGCACTTTGATTCAGTTCAAAAATCTTTCTGACCATAAATCTTTTTAGAAAAGCAAACAACATTACATCTGAAATGGATAAACAAAAGCATATAATTAACATCTTACAATTCAATAATTTACCTATGAAAATTATTATAAAAATACATTAAAACGAGATTATTTACTGCTAAACAATAGTTTGAAAGAAGCACCATGGATTGATACTGTATTTTACCATACAGCCACGGTACAACAGAAGAACTCCAAAGAGTCTTAAAACAATACAGAATCATAGCATACTACAAAACAACCACCATTCTTCAAACTGCTTCAGTTCATATAAAGGATAGGATTCACTTTAAGTCAACACAGAATTGCGTTTACAAATAAGATTATGTCGATAGTGGTACCTTCTGTATCAGAGAGTCATCTCGTGTAATCTTGATTCAAGCCATCTTAGGTACACAAAAAGCCACCTAATCATCCTGTAGAACCTGAAAGAATCCGAATTGAATCGGTTATAGGAGTGCATAATAATAATAATAACCATCACGTCGATGTTAAGAATATCAAAATAATAGAAAAAAGCTTTTCCAGCTGCGAAGAATTGCCAGTGGCTGAAGCTTTCCATATATTGCTGAATCCTATAGGCCTCAATAGAATAGAAGGCCTTGGACGACCATCTATTGAGCTGCCATATCTGATACTATTCACATCTCACACTATTACCATACATACAAATTCAATTCTATCCTTTCTTATTACATGTATCAAGTTTTTCATCCATTAACAGACACAAATATATAAGTATGTCTTACATAAATTACCTTGACCTGAGTGAAACGACATCAACTTGGTCAAACTCGTTTGTTTTGATTGACTGAGTCTCGAAACATCAGGAAATTTCGTGGTGTTCACTCCGGATATATCTTTACAGTCTAACAGCTAGGTGTGCTCGGACTACCTAGATGTATTTTCCATTATGGTATCAGAATTATGTAACTGCTTGGTATGTATCTGTCATTTTGGGGAATATATATTCATAGAACTGCAAGCACCATTTTTTCGAGTTCGACAGACATATCGCTGATTTATAAATATGACTTCAGTTGAAATACGGATTATTACGTTTGAACACTTGTGGAATATTTAAGTCTTATTTACTGTGATAAGTTTTAATAAACATTGTTTCATTCTGCCAATCTCAACAGCTATATGTCATGGGGGACAATAAATTTTTCGGCTTTTGTAGTCTAATCCTCGTTATAACTTGCTGATTTATCAGGTTATGTGGAATGCTTGTAATTAAGCTTAGTTTACAATATAGTTGTCATTACTGACACATAAATGCCGCTTTGCATTGTTTCATTTCAATAATATGACATGCGTTAAGTAAAGGTGGATGGGAATTCGGCAAAATATTGACCGATGCTGGATTTGAATAGTTAGTAGGCAAAGACTGAAGCTGAACACCAAGTTTTCCTGTGGACGACAACTGGTAATCCTCTGTTTTGCTTTACAACTTCTATATGTTCACACTATCTTTTTGTTGAGTACCCTGGACATTTAACACGGTTTTATTAATTAACTGGAATACATCAACAACCAAAACAGCTGAATATTGATATTCCAAACGGTGAGAAGAGCGATAATCACAATGTGGCCATACGTAGAGAAGTCCCTCTCGAATTGCTACTATGCAGTCATATTTTTATAGCCTTCTACAGGGGATCCGCACCCCCCTGTCTTGGTGTGGTGTGGTTTTCCTACAAAATGAAAGGTTGGAAATAGAAATCAGAGGCTAAAATTCGGTTGGTAGATACAGATGTCTAGACTATGGAGGTTAAAATTTATGATTCCAAAGCAGTGGTACATAATGGATTCTAGATCCGAAGCGAACGAATAGTGTGCAAATCTACTGTGGAATTCCCTGTTCTGATGATATCTCAATGCATTACGGATTATGTACTTAAGTAAAAGACTTGGTGTATATTTCTCTAAGTAAACCGCTTGTTTCTCTTTAAGAGCTTAGGTAATAACTCCTCATGTATCGCACAGTTTTGGTGCTCATTTCTACACAAAACTGATGTTTTACGGCAAAGCGATCTGTAATTAGGTTTCTGAGCGAAGCAGATAAGTATCTAGCATTAAGACTGTTATGATACGTAAAAGACTAACTTCACTGTAATGTGCTCTAGATTTCACACTTAACAGATGGTTACCTTGGCTCAGGTAATCTGGTCTTCAATTGTTGGTCAGAACTCTGTATCATATGATCTAGTCTGTGAGAATCATTTTCTGAATGACTTAAACTTGAATCATATTTTTGGTATCATTTCAGATATTGGGCATTTTCACAGTTCACATATGAGAGATAGAAATCCTAATCAATGATATGATGAATCAAACAGTTCCGAAGTCATTAGAGAACTTCAGTGTGATATCACTTTCACAGTCAGAAAATTCACATCCTATCCAAAGTTATCTTGATAGCTATAAAGCGTGTATACAAGCATTCTGTCAAAATGGTTTGCAGGAGAATTAAGCCGTGATAAATCACATTTTGTTATTTATACATCAAAATGCACATTCATTTCGAAAATGGTAGAATGGGTCTCATTTATTTCAATATAGCAGTTAGTAAATTCTCATTTGTAACCAGTACGTACTCTAGTCACAACTACCGAATCAGAACTAGATAAAGAGAGCACAGTGCATGCACACTCCAATGTAGTGTATTGGACTAGTGAGATTAAGGCTTTGGTAGTAATGGGAAGTAGAACAGCTTAATGATACAAATAAGATTTCTAGAGGGTTATGTACTCGAATAATCCTCGCCAACTTTAGCGGAAACAATTCAAAACTAGGAGATTGTTATTTTTTCAAGTGAAAATTATATTTTAACTTAGTAGCTTATATCTTTATGAGATATCTGCCATAAATATGTTTTGTTTCGAACTGATTTCTTTGTTTTGTAAGGCGTACTTAATCTCATCAAAAAAGCAATTTGAATTATAACGATAACTTTTACTCTGTCTGTTTAAATTATATTTTACTTAATTCTCTTTCTAGTCAATTGTCAAAAACCGGAAACTATACATTTTATTCTCAAGGTGATATATCCAATCTGATTAATTATTTAGAATCATTTTTGGGACCTCCTCAAACAGCGTATGCAGATAATCTCGATGTGGCTCGTTCTAATCCAGGTCTACATCTTTTTTTGTTATTAAATACTTTTAAAAGAAATAATTCACACGGAGTTGACTGTCCCTTACCTTTAAGATTTCATATATCATCATATTCATCTGTAGTAATAACCGACTATGCACTTGTACCTCAATGGGGTGGTCTACTTTCTATTGATGCTTCTGATTGTATGACAAGGACTGGATCAACCAAGATGATTGCACAAAAAATTATTTATGTGATACGTTCAATATTAGGTTTTCCACAAATCAAAGAAATGTATTTTGATCGGGATGAGGATAATAGTCACACCTATCATATTCAGTCTAACATGGACTTAAATGGTCAAACAACGAATTGGGAGGTTTGTATTTTCTTATAAATTTATATCTTTAAAACACTATGTTGACAAAGTTTTATTTAGCTTAGATGTGGAGTGGCTGAAAATTATTGCTTTAGCATGGTTTTTACTAATTTCTGCATTATTTGGCTTATGAAGCATTTCTTTTAATTTACATTGGTTGATTTGGCTATTTTGCTTGTAACCAGGTTGACTATGAAGTGTACTCAACATGCACTACCTATCAGACAACTTACATTTTCTGTCGGTATAATTGGTATTTATGAACTACTTTAACTCATCAGTTGCCTAGACAGAAAGCCAATCACCTTCCTCACAAAAAACGACATATTGAATTTCGCTTCGGAATCTTGAAGCAACTCAAAATTTTTTGGGTTCATAGATAATCTGTTGAATATACCTTATAAGTTCAATCCTTACAGAAGAATATTCTTCAATACAGAAATAGATGAGCAGTCATCCGACTACTTATTTCCATGAGTCTATGCAGACTGCAGGAACTTGTGTGATTTCTTGGGAGGAAAGTCATGATCCCTACATGAATCTTATAGGTATGTTCAGTGAATTTGTTTTTTTACTGGCCTACATGCAGTCTCAGAGTTCAAAAGCTCGTTTTTATCATGTTTCGTTATTATACCTTTTAGTAACTTCTATCTGTTACCGTCTTCACTTATTATGTTCTATCGAGTACTGTGCACAAGTTCACTTCATAACATGCCTTAAAAACTTGTAAGTTTCTTAGGGCTTCATAGCGAGTTCAAATCTTAGTGAATCACATGACTAGGACATGTCTTTTAATTTTGTTTGTTTACAGCTTAACTTGTGGTTTCTTCGACGAACTATTGAATGTCTTACTGAGACTAAACGAACTATTGAATCATTAATAAACATACTACAACGCCTTCCAAACATGATTATACGAGATGATGTTGCTAATGAAGTATATCATTCATGTTCGAATTGGTCATTAGCTCTTGATAATCTCAAAAAACCAGATGAAATAAACAATTCAGCGTCGTCACACAACGAGATTATGTGCTCCTTTGGTGTTACATTCCAATATGCACATAATGCTTTAATTTCTTCAAATGGCGCGTTTTTCGACCACAGCCTGCTTGGTCTTTTATATTTCGAGGTGAGTAAGCTTTTTATTATTATCGCCGTCTAGAACGGTTGGTGAAAGCATGTCAAATTATGTCTAATTATTATGGAATGCTCACCTTACCAAGTACCTGAGAACCACTTATTAGATTCAATGTAACCCAATGCTTCACTATATTAAATCTAGTGAATAATACGGAGTCACTATCCCCCTTAAACCTTAGGAATGCAAAATCACCTTTTACGGAGGGAAGACGTGATTTTTGGGGAATTAGCCTTTAAAATTAAATTGTACGTCTTTTTGACAGGTGTGCAAACGCACAGTTATTATTTACCTTTTGTTGTGTAGGTATTCTTGTGTAACTGGAACTCCGTATTGTAGTGAGATCTTTGCTAATCTTAAGACTGTCTAAATTATTTGTGGTTAATGAATTTAACCATAGTGCCCAAGCTTCTTTCTGTCCCACTAGCACACACCATTGTAAGTGGTATTTATTGAAACACATTGATACAAAGGGATAACAAAATGTATATGCGCCACACAAAGTAGTTATCAATAAATTTTTTTCTCCAAGGATTTTGTCGGAGTGCCCAAACCATAGAATGCGGTCTTGGGGGCCACTCCCCGAACTTTTGACCAAGAGGTTTAATCCACGATGTAGTGGAGCAACGCTGGGAGTTGCGGTCTCATGGCAGCCGGTGATCAAGAATAGGTTTGGACGCTATTTGTCCTCTCAGGATCCTGGAGTCTATGAGAATCGTTAGTTTGGAATCAGGGTTCTCCAACTCTGCTAAATTGGCTTCATAAATAATGTGCTTGATATACCTTCCAAGTTCAATCCTTACAGAAGAATATTCTTAAATACAGAAAAAGATGAGTAGTCATCCGACTACCTACTTCCGTGAGTTTATGCAGACTGCAGAAGCTTGTATGATTTCTTGGGAGGAAAGTCATGATCCGTGCATGAACCTGGCTTAAGTGCTGGACATTTGCTCTCGTCTTCTCGATTTCGTAAACAACGACCACGCAACGAAATGGTGGTGAGTAGAACTTCCACAGTAGTGACTAAATACACATGGTCATATGATGGCATTTCAAGAGGAAGAGCAGACTCTCCCCACTCTCGACCGTACCAGGGGGAACAATACAATTAGGGTTTGTAGCCATTCCTTACGATTCAACATTTGATTGAGAATCTTGGTCGTCGACCTTACGGCAGAACAAAAATCACATTCAAATCTACTGAGCGTTGCGAAAACGTCAAAGGAGGTTTCTTTGAGTGCCTTCATTCTGATTATCACATAAACAACTAGTTTCTGAAGATTTACCTACTCGCTTAATAATTACACAATTTATTTTTTGTAGGATGACCAAAAATATGGTATTTATACGCCGCTTTTCGTACCAATTGGTTTCGCCTTATTCCTGTCAACGTATCGAACATTTAAACTAGTATTCCGTCACAAAAACTAATAGGAAACATTTTTTATTTTATAATATTTGTTCGTACCGGTAAAAATAAAGTATCTATACAACTACGTCCCACCAGTTTTCTAGCTGTTAGTTATCCATCTGTACATTTGAAAAAATGGGTATTGAAGAAACCAGTTAACTAATTACGGAAAATCATGATTATATAATGGAAATTATGAGCATATAAGAGTCTTCAAATCATGCTTAAAATGATCATAATCTTGGTTGAAGAGAACACTTTCTGTCTTCTTGCTTATCGTCCTGTTGGATGTTGCTTCGAAAACGTCGCGCCTACTTTGATTTATTTGTTTTGCAAGTTTTATTAGTTCAGGATTGACTTTGCTGATATTTTTAGGTTTGACAGAACCGCACTTGTCAGGTTTGGACTGAGAGTCTGTAAAATAATTCAGGAAAAAAAGTTTACTTTGGATACATTCACATAAACAAATTTATTGCACTGCTAAGTTAAAGGTGTTTACTTCCAATTCTCTCTCTCTCTCTCTCTCTCTCTCTCTCTCTCTCTATATATATATATATATATATATATATATATATATATATATAGACAATGTTTGGATCACCATTGCATTCAAGACTGGTAAATTCTTGATGATACACCATGAACATCTGTCAATTGTAGAGAAGGTACATGATTACTATGATGAATCCGAATAAATAATGTTCAACTAAGCAGGAGCTACTTCTGTGTTTGTAATGGTTGTTTGGATGCACACACATGCAGCTAAAGTCTTGGATTTCACTGCTAGCCACAAAAGACTTAATTCTGAAGTCTTCAACGGTGAACGACTAGGTGATTATCAGCTGTTTTTAGTTATGAAAACCACTGTGAAGGACAGCTTTCGGATCTTCTTAGCGTTTACATCATTTTTAGTTGTTTCACGTCGTCTTAGTTACCAATGACACTCGTTTTGAATTATACACTACTTGAATGGGACAGTGGTGTTCCTTCTTCAAAGATTCCGGTTTTACTTGTGGTTACTCAACAAAACTTCACGAACATCAATCTCACGTGCCAAGGAATGCTCATAGATGATGTTTCGCAAGAGGTGATTGTCAAAGCCGACTTACCAGAAGATAATGGTGGGTAGCGCGGTAAGTACTGGTGCCACGGCGTATGTATGTCCTGCGATAAACGACACATATGGCTGTCTATAGTGTCGCTTCTTAACATGACAGGCGTTCATTCCCGGAAGCATTCCAGTGGGAACAGACAAATAACCTTATAATAAAACATAATCTTAGCGTTATCTGAGAAAGCAATGTTTGACCACTGAAAAGTTGGTCATTTTCTAGAGTTGAGGAAACTGCATAACTTGCTTTGAGGACAATGTAGGAGGTGGGAGTAAGTAAACTGGTGTTTTAGCATTCAAGACATTTGGCCAACTACTCGTACTCTAGATCGGGCCTTGTAAGCTAAGGAACAGCATATTATAGTACAACTAAATAGCTTGAAACCTTTGAATGAACAAATGTATAGCTATTAATGTGGTTGCCGTCACGTTTGACGCACCTACTCGTTCAGAAGTTAAATACAGTTACAACGGAGAAGCAGGCTATGATATGCATGTAGTAGTGGGTTATTTCATTGAAGAAAGGATTATATTTTTAAACGATGAATATCGCGAACTGATGACAGTTTTCATTAACAAAGTCAACCAACTCACACCATGGACGTTCTAATTTTGAGACACTTCCAATCAATATGGTTTCAAGATTCCCTTCAGATCCAGTGCACTTGGGATATTTATGTGTAATGAAGAAAAAAAATCTGTTTATGGGTAGATTCCTCATAAAGAACTTGGAGTGTGAATAAAACTATTATCATGGGCATATGTTATTCTTGAGTTGTGTCGTACATTAGACTTTGTATCTGTATGGGTAGCGACAGTGTTTATTGTCCTCTTTATAGTCCTTAAAAATACATCACTACTACCTCCGTACTTAGATTCTAGACGTCTAGCATTAGCGCAAACGCGTCTTAAGTTTTGCAGCAGTGTGACAGGTTCAGTTAGAAATGATTTGTGTGATTTTCTTAGAGAATGTGAATAGTGCTATGGACCTGAACACTTAGTTTATAGCGTACATTCGTTAACGTTATTTTGCAAGATCCGCTATCAGCTTTTCCATTCGAGTCTTATATGAGATACTAAAAAACAGTACATAGCTTTTAGCCTATGGCTAAGTAAGCAAATCACAGTTATATAGAAGAGATAATTTCCTGTAGTAGGCTTTAAGTTATCATTTCGGCAACTACAACAGACACGTACGACTGTAAGAAACAAAAAAATACTAAGTATACTACTACAACTATAACTTCATTTAAGCCGGATAATGTAGTAATGATACATGAAAACCTGGGGTAATCACTGATATCAAGGAAAAAGGAATTAATTAGATCTAGAGCTTTCACTGACCTGCTAGATCATTTCACAGGACTCACTGAACTCATCAAAGCACTGAGTGACATGAGATCAGCTGCAAGTCACAAAAGAGATATGATAAATACGTTGAAGTGGCAACTTTTTGTCGCTGTTCAATAGCTGTAGTGTTCAGTCTTGACGAGCTGCCGTAATTCTCGTTTTACGTTGCCAGTTGTAGATAAAAAAATTCCGCAGTTTAGTTGTGTTGTGAATGTTAGTTTTAATATTTCAGAATTCACAGGACGGTTATTTCAATTCTGAATAGTAACACTGAGACTCCAATTTTTTAAAACTCTCTACATTTTATTCATAATTTTCTAATAAATCATTATCTTCGCATTTACTTTCTCACTTACATCTGCTACATTGAAACAATTTAGGCGTATGTAGTGGGGACGTGATTGGTATATGAAGCTGAAGATTCAAAATAATTAGCGCGTAACCTGTCAACTGTAACTTTTTTTGCAGATTTTCGTCAGTGACAGTGGAGTTTTGTATGTACAACGAGGTGCGATGTCATTTCTTGTAAATAAGTGTTACTAACCATGTATAATTTTCTAAATCGAGTCCACTGTATCTAAACGTTCGTCTTGTGGTGTAAATAACGGCGAACATAGAAGACATTTAGGATAAGAGCATATAAGTGTGCGTTAATGGAAACGAAAATTAGACTAATAACCAGCTCAAAGTATACAAAATCCAGTTGGAGAATTTCTACCTAACACCTAAAGCATTTAAAATTCCTATTCTTTGTTCGATTCACTTTCATATATTGGCTTTTCTGTCTTATGTTGACCTATCGGTTTAAAGATGACATGTTAATCTGTAGAGATTAACCTGTCGTGCTACGTAGCACCTAATTAGGTAACAACATGCTACTATACTAGACACAGTCTGGAAATAAATAACTTACCATTTTTACTTGAAAATATTTTCCAAGTAACTTTTTTGGAATGACGTTTTCGGTATAATTCATTGCGAAGACGTTTCAGTTGGCCTCTACTTTGGTTCTTCCTACTGGACTTACATCGTACCTGAGAACTGTGCAAAACGTCATGAAAGATTACCTCAGGTCTCCGAAACTCAGGCAGAGCTGGAACAATAGCGATTTGACTTAATGCTTTTTTCAGTAATGACTTCATGAAAACCAAACGCCCGCCTCCCCAGTTTGCGTTTCGAGAATGGCCTAGGAAATATTCTTCGTGTAAGATCCAATATACCATTTTATTATTCGCAATCCTAAATAGAGCGAATGATTTCATTGATCCTGCTTCTTAATAATTCAGTACGGTTTCACGTCTTTATTATTATCCAATGAAAGGTAGTCCAGTTAATGGATTACACAAACTCTTATCAGTTTCGTAGCTGTGTGGATTTTTACATGTTTTAATTTGAGCTAGTTCGGTTATCTCAGGGCAGAAACCTTTTCGGATATCAGCAGCTATCATGTCATCAAGAAAGAGGTTGACTGGTTGATCCCAATGTGAAGAAAAAGCGAAAATTCAAGCATTAGGAAATGATCGTTTCTCTTTCAGATCATTCAGCCTGAGTGCAGTTTCTTTGATCTAATTCGAAATATATTTTTCTCCATGAAGTTTGGGATCCAAGATGAACATGGTTAGGTGAAACCTGTCTTCGCAGCTGTATCCTTGATTACATGAAGTTTTGAGTCGAATGCTCCTAGTCAAAAGATAATACACGAACCGTTATCGTTTGGTCCGAATAAGTCGTCCAACTGTCCCGTGATATGGAAAGATTTGACGAGAAACATGTGATATTTGGAAAAACCCCAGGTGTGGTTGCTGTAATCTGGTCTGTCTTTATCGGAGCAATAGTAGCATGATTCTGTCAGTTAACTAAAGCTTTGTGTTTCGGCTTTGAAGCGATTGTTAATTTGTGTCGTCACTTCATCTCGCTTTTTACCTACCCTATCGAATAGGAAATATTCCATCCCTTGCATACTCACTTTTTCGTCCGTGATATTGGAGGAAGGACACGCCTAATTTGGTACTATAATCTCTACTCAAATCCTCTCGGTTTCTGAAGTTCACAGCCACCAGACAGAGACTTAATTGTCGTGGGGTTTACCGGAAGGGTTGGCGCGAACACACTAATTGTCGTGGTGATGTTAAGGGCCACGCTTTATGATAAATGACCCTAATGTTACACATCATGTCCGAAAGCTTTGTCCTGACTATCATCAACTGGCTAGAGTATTTCGTGGACTTCAATGATGGCTGATTCTTGAGTTTTTGCTGATCATGTAGCGGATTTTCTAATGGCCCACTGATTTTTGTGCTCAACTCTTATTCGAAAATACCGTTTAACTGATAGTCTCTTATTCGTCAGTAAGGTTCCTTCTCTAACGTGTGCGTGATTTCAATCGACCCATAAAAGAGGCATATATTTGGCTACACTTTGTCTATAAACATGCGGCACAGTCATTATTTTTTACTGATGCGCTAAACGATAGCAATCTTGCGTCATATGTGTGCTCAGATTGAAGAGGAATTTCGTAGACCAATATCTCTACTACACCTCTTTGTAACTAATAGTTTTGCACATGGATACCGTGAAGACTACAATACCTGTTTGTGAGAAGTTTGAGAACTTATAACAGTCC